TTGCTTCTGCTACTGCTACTGCTGCTGCTGCTGCTGCTGCTGCTGATACTCCTTCTCCTCCTCCTCCTCCTACTCCAACGACGACTAATAGTTCTACGACGACGACTACTACCTACCGTACCACGAGGACGGCTACGACGGCGACCACTATCACCATGACAATGGCGCCGACTACTGCTGCTACTACTACTACTACGACGACGACGACGACTACTACTACTTATCATCAACATGCCTTTGAGCATCTTCTGTAGTAATGTCTTTGCAGTTCTCTTATCGCTGTTGATCGTGCCAATGCTATGGTTGTTGCTGCCATCACCACCATCAGTCTATGTCCTCAACTTTAACGGTCACCTAGACTTCCAAGCACACTCGGCAGTTTGTCGCCTGCGCTCCCACTCGGCTTCCTCCTTCTTGGCTTCAGAGTCATCCTCCCGGAGCCCTGCAGTTTGGAGGTTCTGTCGGTGTAGGGTTTGAGGCTGGTCTTCAGGAGGGCATGCGCCTTTATAAGAGTGCTCGTAGCTGCCTGCTCCTGCATCCACAGCTTTCTTTGCTTTCTGAATAAGGTCTGGGCAGTTGGGGGCAAGCAAATGTGGATACGGCATCTCTTGCATGTTATCCCGGAAGCTATACGCCTGTTTTGAACTGATGCATCCGCAGGGTGATAATCAATGCTTCGGGTGGCAGCTGTGCCGCGCCTTCGTCCCCTTTCCCGGCCGAGGTCCGGATGCGCAGGACGCAGAGGGTCTTTTCCTTCAGCTCGCCCTGAAATGCGGCAGCCCAGAGGGTCCGAGTAACCATATAGTATATACTTTGGGGTACTAAGTACCGACTATACTGGTACTTGGACCCTTTGGGCAGTTGGAAGTTGCATCTCCAGGCAGGAGCAGGACAACGCATTCCCCCGTGTCCCCAGAATGTAGGGGCCTTAGTAATCAGCATAGGGTCCATATATAGTAGGGTTCAAGTAAGCGCGCAGGGGGGTTCAGCTGAATACTGCCCCCATACAGTAACAGTCTATTACAATAGCGCTACGCTGAAGGTCCTAATATATCTGTATTATAAAGACTGATATAGGGACCTAAATAATTACCAATACTGTTTTGGGGGTTCCTTATCATACTTATAGTATATACTGTATCTCAAAACCATGATTCAGGCCCGTACAGTATTCAACTGTTGCTGAGTGGGGGCCGTACCACGGGGTTCAGTATTGAAGCCATGAGGCCACCATCGAGCTCAGGCTGCTTTGACCGTTCCTGAGCAGCAGCTTCTAGGTAATTATTTAGGCCCCTATATTAAGTCTCTGAACAAGCTGTGGGAAGTGGGTGGCAGTGCCGCTGCAAGCCGAGCAAAGCAGCTGCAACCTGGACCGACCAAGAGCTTTGCCTACATCTGCCAGCCATCCCGATCGCAAGACCCCACAGCCTTCAAATTTGGCTGCGCAATTTCTTTCGCGGCCCTTCTGACAGAACAGTCCCCCCAAGCCAAGTGCCAGAGAAGAGCTTTCGAAAGACGAGGGCCGACCACCGAGGGCCCTTTCCAGTCGAGGTGCACGGACAGCAGTATGTCACCGGCAGCAATCGCTTGAGTCTCGTTCTTCTTGTTCCACTCCTTATGAAAGGTCAGCTGCATCGTCGCGGACGATCCATCGTAGGATAGCTTGATTATCCTGGGGTTGATACAGAACCAGCCTTCTACAGACGCCATGTTAGTTCAGCCCAGGTGCATCAACGACACCTCCTTCGACGATCCTGCGGATGTGATGACCACCCTTGTAGGAGACATCCTCATCCTCAATACAAAGCGCTAGTGTCAAGGCACCAAAGTGTCACAACATGGCACACTGCTGCGCAACTGGCATTTGCTGCCAAGCATCAAGGACCATTCCAAATCTTTGTGAAATGTCCCCTCTGCTGATGTGGACCTTTACAAGACTCAACAGGCACCTTATTCAATTCAAAATTTCAGGGCATGCGCTTCACAGGTAGACCCCTAAGCCCTAAATCCAAGCTTCCTGCATTGTTGCATTTATGGAAACGTATGTATGTACGTATGTATGTATGTACGTATGTATGTATGTATGTTCATGTATATATGTGAATGAAGTGCAAGTTTACATATACGCATGTGCATGCATACATACATACATACATATATACATACATATATATATATATACACACACATAACTACAACACTGTATTCATTGGTGCCTCCTTCTCATCCGGAGTCACGCTCGGAGGCGCTTCTGCCGCCATGGCCGCCTTGTAGCCATCCTCACAACGGGAAGCAACAACTAGGCGGGTGGTTGTCAAAATTAGGGTCCCTTTTTGCGTCCCTATTATAGCACGGCACCTATTATTTAGGGCGCCCAAAAAGGAACGCTAATCTTGACAACCACTCAGTTGTAGATGGATAGCACAACAAGACGGAGAGAGAGAGAGAGAGAGAGAGAGAGAGAGAGAGAGAGAGAGAACCAAGGTAGAAGTGTAAGTAGGGAACGAAACAGACAGCAGGATTGGCTCACAGACGACGGCAGAAGAAGCCTGCGCATGCTGCTTTGCAAACCTTGGAGTCTTAGATCCGACGGCGCATGCATGTAGTAACAGCAAGGCTTGGTTCAGAGTTTAGGCTTTAGGGTTGCTTGCGGTCGAGCAGATCACAGATTATCTTCACACATCGCTGTCCTGCCCACACTTCATGTCACGAAGTGCATTCTGCACCGTCTTGAGAGAGACGTCCTGACCAGACACAGCCCCTGCTTCCAGGGAGTCTGTGGGTGGTTATGAACAAGAATACTAATAGTAATAAAAATACTGATAAATACTAATCATAGACATGAGAATACCACGAATAATCTTAGTCTGAGGCAGGTCTTTCTGCTATGCAGGGTGGCAGAAAGTCCTTCTACTTGCCGGGTATCATGGGGAACTGGAGGTTAGCCTTGTTGGTGATATAGGGATTATATAGGGGCTGTACTACCCCAAAAAAGGGTAAAAGTTACCTACTCTACTACTAGGTTGAAACATAAGGCTTGTTCTGAGACCGGAAGTCTCGAACATAGTTTTCAGACCGGGAATCTCAAACCACATAGACATAACCACACATCCGAAGCTCCGAACAAAATCCGAAACCCTAGGCCCCACCATCCTTGAAGGTCTCTTCTGCCTGCAAGGCTGCATGAACGGCTCGATACCCTCGGCTCCAGGGGCTTAGTGTTCAGATTTTTTCGGAGGTTTCTGGGAATTGAAAGTCGTCACAACCCTTCCTGAGTTAAGACGAATGTAGGGGCCTAAATAATCTGTTATGAATATACTATACTGTAATGGGCCCCAAAACCCTATTCTAATTATTTTAAGGCCCCTGTATTAGGCATCCCGGCAACCCTTCATAGTGCCCAAATACATTTCCTTTCGTAAAAGAAAAAAATCTTCTTTTTCGCGAAAAATCATTTGGGCACTATGAAGGGTTCATTCGGGCACTAGTTCGGGCACTATTTGAAGGCGTCTAACATGCCGGCTAAGTTGAGGGTTAAATTTCCAATCACATGCTGGAACCACAAATTTGCAATCGCAGCTGCTGAGAGGGGAAGGCATGGGAAGAAGGCTCTAGCAAAATCGGTTTCGGTGCCGAAATGACGGTTTCTCTGTGTTACTCAAACTCAGACGTTAGCATGTCACCAACGGCAATCGAAATGTCACCACCTCATTGCACTAGTCCTTTTACATTATTGACTTCTCGAAATTCGCTGCCAAGTCTCCGATGTCGGGCGTCTCCGCTAGAAGCTCTCGCAGCCTTGAGGAGCAGGGATCCGTACTTGTTATGAGCTGCATGTCACATTAATTTAAAGTATATTACATCACCTCAAAAGTTTGCGAGCAGCGCACCTCGTCCTTCCGCAGAGCTTCTGAAACATTCCCTCAAACTAAACCCCGTGCAAATCGAACTCTGCAAAGTGTATCGGCCTCGCAACCAGCCGCTCTCCATTGCTGTGGCAAGAACCCGTCATTCGGCTGCGTGTTGCTCCACGTCAGGACAAAGGTTTGACATTCGCTCGCTGCATTGTTGAGCGTGGCTACTGGCTTTCTCAACCAACTTACATGAAAAGGCACCTAAACCCTAAACCCTAGACGGGTGCTAATATGCCTGCCGATGCTTTCATATGTCCACATGACCGATGTTGACTCGGCCAAAGGCGCAGCTGATCGAGGCACACTTGCAACATCTGTCTGCCTAGATGCAGGGCACCCACTGGGTTCTTGTTAAGAAATTTAATTCAAGTTACCATAACAGGGGTCCATATAGTGAACAACTAGTATGGTTTCCTTATCATGGCCGCTTAAATTAAACTCCTTAACAAGAGCCCACTGACTCGACATCGGCTTGTTTCTGGCGAAGCTGTGAGGGTCTGCGGTCGGAGCTGCGGAGGTCGCCCAACCCAAGGGCAGAGGGGCTTTTGGTGCTCGGAGGTGTGTGGGATATCGTAGAAACTCCCCGAGATCATGAACGCAGCCTAGAGAGTTGTAACTTCGATGCAGAAGATATGCAGGAGATACGTTTGTTTAACCTTGAGCCTTCAGCCATCTCCTTGAGCAACCGTAGAATCTTCGGATGCCTTGCTGCTTGGCTGGGTGGGCGACCTGTGACCTACGCGGTGGGTACTGCAACCTCGAAATCGCAGCCGTCGGGACTCGAGGGCAGGGAAGCAAGAATCAGTCGTGTAGCCGAGTTGAGACATCCTTGACATGTGGGATTTGCGTTTTCATGGGGGACGGTTAGGGAAGCAAGGACAAAAGCCAGGGAACTCTCTCACTGATGCACGGCCCAGATGCCGGCCTGAAGTGACTCCAACGGTAGATACGTCCTTGCGTGAGCAGCTAGCCAGCGCTTAGCGCAAAAAGCCACCTGGCACACGTAGCAAAGTGACGATATCGTCAAACTATAGTGATGGCAGGTGCCAGCAAAATGCAAGATTGCTTGTCAGTACGATCGGTAACTCAACTAATGCACTCAGCCATCTCCCACGCTTGCGGATACAATCCGATAAGCTGCGAGGGCGCTGCAAACACAGAGCGGCTGCTGGCCGGGATAGCGTGCTCCGCACCGCCCTCCTCGTGGAAGCAACCAAAGGCACATCCGGAAAACTCCCCGACAGGGGCAAAGGCAAACCAGAAGTTCGTCCTCAGCACGGAGGAGGCACACGCTCGGATGCTCTCGTGTGACGTGTGTGCGCACTCAGTGGAGAGCACAAAAACCATACATCACAGCGTATCAAGTTGCTGCTTTCTTTGTGAATGTTTTTACAGGTTGTATACTACATTATACAATTACAACATACCTAATATATATATATATATATATATATATATATATATACACATGTATGTATGTATGTATGTATGTATGTATGTATGTATGTATGTACGTATAATATATATATATATATATATATATATATACACACACACATACATTTATGTTTTTGGTAAGATGTAGGATGTAATACTCGAAAAAGGGCTCCGCTCAAGCGACCCGTCAGAGGCACATGGAGGAGCAAAGGGCGCAGCAAAGCCAAGCTCAGGCCCTCACTTCTCAACCGCCCAGCGCGATCATTGGCAAAGCCTAACAGAAATAGCGAAACAATGACTGCCAATATTAAGTGAGACTGACTATAAAACAATGCAAAGGCGGTTATAAGGGTACTATGAGTATTGGGTTCTTTAGCGTGGTTGGGAGGGCAAGGTGCTGCTCCCGTCCTGCCTTGGCACCCCTCTCGTTGAGCTCGAACATGTCCCGCTTACCACCCAGCTTGGCGTGTTTCCTGCGTTGTCCATGTAGAGGCTTTGCTGTTGTGCCGACGGTGTGGCGAGACCCTGAACCCTAAACCCTGAACCCTAAACCGCCTATGGGACCTCACAAACTTTGAGGGTCACTAGTGGCAGTCTGGCAAGGCTAAGGCTTGGGCAGGGGCATTGCAATATCTTAACATCTTATCTAACGCCTCAAAAGACGTGATAGTAGGGTACTTGGAGGTTCATGAGTAGTTATAAGTATTTCGTACATTTTAATGTTCGGATGCAGGGCTCTTGCTGTCTCGACATTGAGAGCATCGGGACAGACAGGAAACTTGGAGTCAAGCACCCCCGAAATCCAGATGGGCATAACTTAACACGAGGCCTTTTTTTTCCCAGAACCTCTCACCTCAAAGTATTCAACATAATATCATCACTCTCCCAGTGGAGGCATCGGTACTCGCCCGACCATGGGACTTGAGAAGCATGTTTTTTCGTCCTTCGTGTCTTTGACGTTTCATGGGCCTGAGAGCTTTTCAGACTTTTTTTCTCCTGGCAAGTTCAGAACCCCGGAGTCTTCGAACCCAGATGCTGGTGATCACAAGGGTGGCATGGAAGGCCCCTTTCGGGTTGGAAGAGTGCCCCGAGTGCCGACTCATGCTCCGATAGAGCCCCTGGAAACCTGGGCTGCGAGGCCTCTGAACAGCTTCGGCAATGGTGCCGATGATTTCATCGTCAGGCACGCCACGGCGCATCTCTTGGAGCAAGTTCCAGCCTCAGAAGTCGAAATTCAGGCTTGCGCTGGGTCAGAAAGCCCTCGATTCGGGCAGGTCACGCAGCATGGCAAGCTCAAACAGGACCCGTCTTGTGCAAGAGCAACATTCCACAAGGGTTCGGAGGCTACGAGGGAAGATGTCCCCAATCTCGAAGTGCTTTGGCTGGCAGCTGCATTTCGGCTGCAGCTAGTCTCAGTGGCCGCCTCCTACATTCCCTCGATTTCCGCAAACTCCTCTCAAGCTTGTACGACGACCACTACAAACCCATGACTCGTCGTCGTCAGAGCAACCACTCGCTTTCGTAGTCGTAGAGAAAGTAGCAGAGGTAGTGGTAGTAGTAGTAGCAATAGTAGCAATAGTGGTAGTAGTAGTAGTAGTAGTAGTAGTAGTAGTAGTAGTAGTAGTAGTAGTAGTAGTAGTAGTAGTAGTTGCTGTAGCAGTAGAAGTAATTAGTAGAAGTAGTAGTAGCAGTAGTAGCGGCAATGAGTTACAGTTACAACATTGCATGAAGAGGCACAACTGCCAGGACCGAGGACAGGGCCTTGCTCACCAAAGAGGCAGTTGCGCAGCTCTCCTTGAGTAGTGCAGATGTGATCGCACCGTACAGGGAGGGCGCTACTGGAGTCCCAGCATGGGCCCTAGTCTCGAAGCTGAGCACCCTTCATTTAGCTTCTGAGAAACGAGCCATTCGCAGTGATTCGGAGCCGGTTGCAGCCACCGCAGAAAGCATCTGTCATGCTGGATATCACCTGGGCTGGGAGCGATTCAGTCTGCTAATGAGGCTAGACTCAACTACCGGTTCCCGACTGCAACTTCTGTGTGGTGGTGTCGGGGTTGCGACAGCCTTCACAAATATGCTTGACTGTTGCGGCCAATCAATCCGCATCGCATGCCAGTGCCAAGTCAAGGTCCACATGCAGAGAGTGTTTGCTTTGCGTGAAGACATCGCGCTTGCGGTTTTGGGCTGCATTCATTGACCAATTCCGATTTAAACCGCCTAGGGTTTAGGGGCAAGACTGGTGCACCTTGCGCTAAGCCTCGAACTCTCGCGATCCGCAACAAAAGCTTGGAGCAAGCTCCCATGTGCGACCACGGTTATCAGGTTATCATGCTTATGCAGGGGCCTGCAAATCTGAATTCGGAAAGCATCAAACTCCTATTGCCCTAGCCCAAAAACACTCGAATCCCGAATCTTGCTAATTAATCATCTAATCTAATCTTGGTATACGTGCAACAGCGTTCAATGGTGGCCTCCCTTTGGCAGACAGGACTCCTACTCCAGCGCAGGAAGGCAGGAAGCTGAATCGTGTAACACTATATACCCAAAGGGTCCAAGTACTATTATGGTAGGTACTTAATACCCTAAGGTATATACTATATGGTAACTTGGACCCTTTGGGATAAAACATCTACAATCCCGAAACCAGAACTTGTCTCCATCCGAGGACTGCGCACCAATGCGCCCAACCCATCCAGGAACCTGCTAGGTAACAGTGATGAGTTAGCAAAACGGATGCATGAAATCGACAAGTACACACTCCTACCATGACTACAAGTACTGACTCTGATCGCTACAGTACCACGGCCACTGGCACTATGACGACCACCAGCCCTTCTGCTGCCGTTGCCGCTGCTCATTCTTCTACCATTGAAACTACGACGAAAACGACTAGCTAGTTGCTACTGCTACTGCTACTGCCCTACTTGTCCTACTCCTATTCCTAGTTTTACCAATAGTACTAGTACTGCGGCTACGGCTGCTACTCTCTACTGCTACTGCTGCCACCAACAACCAACGACAGAACGCACACAGTCGACATGTTGACCCTAAACCCTAAACCCGGCCACACCTGCCATAGGCGTGCCACGTCATGAAGCGAGTCCGGAGGCCTCAGTGTGGGCCCCAAAGCAGTTCTTGAAGCTCTGGGTCTATCTTTAAACGTACCTTGATGAAATGGTACCTATACTATTGGGGGGATTCCTTATTGTCAGTATAGTATAGCTTATAGGATGACTACCTATACAATCAGTGGCATCACTTCTGCTGTAGGTCTGCGGTCGATGCTGTGGCCAAAACAAAAAAACTAAGGTGCGTATTTGCTGCTGGTTCTTGCCAAAGCTTGATTGTTTCTTATCATGACCGAGATCAGATTATGACCACTATGGCCCTAAACCCTAAACCCTAAACCCTGAACCATACGCAAATTTGAAGATGATTAGATCAGCCCCGGTGCCGAAACGTTTCAGTTACTCACTGTCATCGATCATAGTGCTTCTGCTCTCGCTGCTATGACGTCTGCCACAGCTCAATGTCCAAAGCCTAGTTCTCCTGCTTACCATTGACACTTGCGATGCTTGTACACATGAACCGATCAACCGTCAGTTCATCACCTTGACAAGTATCGCTGAGAATATCAACGACTGTCGCATGAGTACCGCACCGGTAGACCACAAATGTGTTTCTCGACAAATCCTGGAGCCTCCTGAGGCTCAATACCTGTTCATCATGCAATAGTAAGTGCGTGAAGCACATACAGAAATGAGGGCAGCGCTCCAAGCATTCGGTATATCATTCCGACCCGCTGGGATAATCTCAACCGTCGGAGCCGGGGTGCACAGGGTCAAGGCCTCTTCGAAAAAGTCATACGACGGACCCCCATATTCCAGCTCATTCCGGAGGTTGGTTCTGGAGACAACCCATGGTGCCCATGCAGCAGCCGCAGCCCGAAGGGTGCGGCCCTTCACCGGATCCTGAAGGGCCGAGATGTCGTAGCGATTAATGAAGCCACAGGTCTCGTAGCTGTAACGCGCTGACACGTTGAGGAAGTTTGTTGGGTTCGTCTCTCGGGTGCGGCAGTGGGCCGATGCATTGCTTCCCATTGCACCACCGGCTGTTTCACACAGGTCCTCGTTTTCAGGGCACAACTCTGGATCCACATAGCACCACGAGGTTCCACACCATGCACCTTGATTCTGACTACAGCCGGTCTGCGACGAGTACCGGATCAAAAAAAAATTTAAACAGGATCAAAAAAAAACTTACTGCCCCAAGGATCAAAAAAATATTTAAACAGGATCAAAAAAAAATATATGCGCCTGATGGGGGAGGAGGGAGGAGCAGTGTGAGTTAAGGGGGGGGAGGGGGGGGGGGGGGGGGCAAGAACGCGATGTGGGAGGGGAACGGAGGGGGAGGGCGAGCCAAAAATAACGGGGCGGAGGGAAAGAGCGGTGTTTGGTCCTAGAGTGGAGGGGAGAGGACGACAAGAAGGGAAGGGGGGGGGCAGGAAGGGGGGGGAGAGGGCGAGGCCCAAAAATAAATTTCATGGGGGCCCGGGCAGAGGACGGCAGGGGGGGGAGAGGGGAGGGGGACGAGGGCGAGGCCCAAAAATAATAATGGTGGTTTTGGGGAGGGGGACGCGCTACGGAGGGAGTGTGGAGAGGGGGGGGGGAGAGGGGGAAAATTTAGGGGAGGGGGACGATGGCGAGGCCAGGATGGTGGCAGTGGAGTTTTGGGGGGCGGGGGGGGGGGGGGCCGGCCCCCGCGAGCGGAGGGGAGGGGAGGGAGGGGGGGAGGGGAGGCCAAACAGGCAAAAACAAAAATAACGGTGTTGTGGAGGGAAAGAGGGAGGGAAAAGGGGGCGGGGGGGGGGCAAACAGCGTTGGAGGGGAGGAACCGCTAGTTTGTGTTAGGTGGGGGGGGAATTGGGAGGGCGGCCCGACGGAGAGGGATCGGGTAAGGAAGGGAAGGAACCCCCCCCGGCAGGAGCATTATTATTATTATTATTATTATTATTATTATTATTATTATTATTATTATTATTGTTCTTCTTCTTCTTATTATTATTATTACTATTATTATTATAATAATAATAATAATAATAATAATTGTTAGTATTATTATTATTGTTGTTGTTGTTGCTGTTGTTATTATTATTATTATTATTATTATTATTATTATTGTTGTTGTTGTTATTATTCTTCTTCTTATTATTATTATTCTTATTATTATCATTTATTATTATTATTATTATTATTATTATTAATATTATTATTATTATTATTATTATTTTCGTGTCTTCTTCAAGGCCCGAGGGGGGGAAACGCGCTGTGTGGAGGGGGGGGACGCGCTACGTGGGGAGGGAGTGTGGAGAGGGGGAGGACCGATCAGGCCCGGGCAGGGGGGGGGAGGGGGGAGCGGCAGTGTGGGGGGGGGGGGGGGGGGAGGGGGGGGGGGGGGGGTGGGGGGGGGGGGGATGGAAGGGGGGGAGAGGGGAGGGTGACGAGGGCGAGCCCCAAACATAACAATCATGGTGGTTTTGGTACGGAAGGGTGCGGCAAAGGCGTGGAGGGGAGGGCCCCCACCCACGCTACTACTACTACTACTACTACTACTACTACTACTACTACTACTACTACTACTACTACTACTACTACTACTACTACTACTACTACTACTACTACTACTAGTACTACTAGTACTACTACTACTACTACTACTACTACTACTACTACTACTACTACTACTACTACTACTACTACTACTACTACTACTACTACTACTACGCAGGATTAATTTTTTTTTGATCCTGCTTAAATTTTTTTTTGATCCCAAATAAATTTTTTTTTGATCCTGATTAATTTTTTTTTTGATCCGCATGCCGTCTGCGACACGTTGGAATCGTGTGCACCACAACCTGTCAGTCCATAAGTGGCCGGAAAGCCTGCTGCAACAGTTGCAGCTTCGTAGATGGTAAAAGAATCGGAGCTATTCGTGATGCACGGACACCCCAGAGACCCGGAAAGGCTGCCAGCTGCCACGATTGACGGCACGTGGAGGACGAAAGTAAGCCATGAATGCATTGTAGGCTCACAGTTGGTTCTTCACGTGCAGCATTGAGCCAGAACTGCTGTGACACGCTGCTGCTGCCTTTATTCACTGGAGCTTTTGTGTATCTAGGCATAGGGTAGGTGCCCAAAGCTGAGCTTCACACAAGCGTGAAGCAGCCGGCAGCCCTGTCGCAGTCACTTCTCGGCAGAACAAGCTTTGACGTATCAACGTTGGAATACTTGCGCTACTACTTACTACTCTTGCGTGCCGTCTTTGAGAGCTTTACGACTTCCTGGCTTAGTATCTCCGCAGTACACGTCCTCCTGGTATCAGCGCGACCCATGCTCAGTTGTCCTGTCTTGCACGGTCTCGTACTACCCTGTCCTGGTCAATGCCGCGTCTGTTCTCAGGAGAGGTGCAAGAAGCTCTGTCTACGACGTGCTTGTGGTCATTTGTGTTTCGAGATCGCGAGCCTTTCAGACTCAATTGGACACAGGAGATGAAGCAACCGGAGAGCCTCAAATTGCAGATCAGCTGGATCAGACCCCACACGTTTGAACCCTCAGAAACCTTCAGACACCGAAAAGACCCGAAGAGAGCCACGAACCTCAAACCTCAAGATCATGAAGCCCCAATCCGCAAATGCCGGAAGGACAGGAATCTTCAAAGGCGTCGATCGGAATCAGTCGGATGGAGTTTGCATGTCCAGATTGCCGACTTCAGCCGCTCACTCTTGAACTATATATGGCAGCAGCGCAACGCCCAGAATAATCAAGGAACCCTGAACCCTAAACTCTGGTTGGGACAGCTCTCTTGGTTCTGGTGGAAGCAATCCATGAGAAAACCCCTACCAGCTCAACTGCAAAGGTGAACTCCAGAGAGCCCCACAGCCTCACCTATATACCCTTGAAAAGCCACGCACTTGAAGCACAAAACAAACCGTTCTCCATAACAGTAGAAGCCATAGAGTTGGAAACCCAATAGCCTCAATCTTCAAGAGTACTGTATGCCTTGAGTCGGTTTCCAACTCTATGGGGTTTATTGTAATCGTTCATCTACTCTTTGACATGGGGGCCTCAGAAGCCGAATCGGGCTCCCGGGTGCTTTATACTAGCACATCATGGGGTTTAGGGTTTAGGGCTTACGGGGTTTCTGGTTTAGGGGTTTAGGGCCTAGGGGTTTAGGGGCTTTTGGTTTAGGGGCTTAGGGATCAGAGGGGGAGCCCCGAAGGATCAAGTCCGGCCTCTGGATGCCAGGTGGTTCTGGATGGATTCAATCATGTCTGCCTCAGCTCTGCAGAAAAGGGGGGCCGCAGAAACACGCTCTGGCTTTTGGCTCAAGTATGTGTGAATGTATGTATGTGTGGTATGTATGTATATGTTTGTATAATTGTATCAAATGCATGTATGTAACTAGTGTTATGTACTTCTGTACTTATTCGCATACGTATGTATGCATGCCTGCATATATATATATATATATATATATAGATGCATCGCACACGCACGCACACGCACACAAAATGAACACGTCCGATGCTACATGCTGAGGGCGGGGCCTGGGGCACCAGTCGATTGGCGCTCCAGGCATTGCCTGAATTCGGATACTCGCGGAAGAGCGCTGCGAAAAGACTTGGCATGTTCACAACACCCAAGGGGTCCAAGTTACCATATAGTATATACTTTTGGGTATTAAGTACCATAATAGTACTTGGACCCTGTGGGACAGTATAAGGGTATTGTCCATGTGCCCTGAACCCTGCAAGCCCGAAGCCCCAACCGAAGATAAGCGTGTGCGGTTCCTAAAAACAAAACCAGTGACCAGCATCACAATCGCGGCGTTCCTAGCCTTGGCGCTTCCCACAGGTTTCAAAAGGCTGTGTGGAGTTGTCCATACGGCGCATCCCAAAAGTGTAGGTTTCTCAGGGCCATTCTTGTAGCTAGGATCCTGCTACATATGGTCGACATTGGGGCGTCTTTTCGCTGAAACCTGCAGGCATGTCCATCTCGCCAAGTTGCCATCGAAGGGCATAAACTCCAAGAAGCGCACCTGGCAGCCTAAACCTACACCCCTGAGCCTGAACCCAAGTGCATAGCATAGCATGACGCCCTCCGCTGGACAAGCTCGTGTAGAAACCGTTACTTAAGCCTAAACCGATTTAGCAAACCCTAACCCCAAAACACTAAAACCCCCTACTTATTATAAACCTAAATCGATTGATTCAACCCTAACCCCACAAAACCCTAACTCCCTAATCTCGAAATGGAGGTTCGAGGGCTTCCAGGCTCCTGGCTCCTGCAGAACCTACTATAGGGGCCTTAATAACAGGGTTTCGGGGCCCATTAGACTATAATCATAATTTAAGGAACCCCCAACACAGACCCCCAACGTAGTACAGGTTAAACAAGCCCCTATATCACCTTTCATGGCGGCTCTCCAGTTTTCTGTCATGTGCGATAAAAAGATACTTCTAGCCTCTTCCAGGGCCCAGACTCTGAGAGGTTTGGGGATTTGGGAATCAAGGCCCTACTTAAATGCAGCTCAAACTCCAAAACCCACTCCAAAATTTGAATCCTAAACCCTGAACACGAAGGCCCGAAGTTACAACCCTGAGCCCAAGGAGGGTTTAGGAGGGTCCATCCGCCTCAACGGGCAGCGACTCAGTGAGATCCACAAAAGCTCCCACCTCGTCCTGGATTCGGCAGTGGTTTAGGGTTTAGGGTTTAGGACAAGTGCAAAGACAGTACGCGGGCAATTTCACACATACATGCAAAAATGCATACATACATACATACAGACTGACAGACTGACAGACACACACAGACACACATACCTACAGACCTACAGACCTACAGACATACATACATACATACAGACAGACAAACCGACAGACAGACATACATTGACATGCATACCTAAACACACACACACACACATGCTCCACACTGCAGCAGGAGCACGATTGGCACCCCAGAACATGCCCACTGGACGCAGCAGGACTTCGGGAGGCAGAGAACACCTGCAAGGCCTGAGCACGATTTCCCAACTTTGAAAAAAATTCGAAGACTGAAGAGCCCCCAGCCCTCAGGACGGTGGAACGTTGCGACCACACGAAGGAGCCCTGGAATGCCAAATTGCCGTGACCTCGACTGAATTGACAACACAGGACTGTGGCAGGAACGCGATTTCCACCCCATGGTATCACGATGGGGTTTGAAGGCGACGGTGATTCATCAAAATCGGACGCCAGCATTGGACTCTGCGATGAATCCGGTGCCCACGGCACACAGGGCCCAAGCTAGCGTGACTGTGGAAACAAGTCGAGAGCGGCAGAACCGCCGTGCACGAGCTGCGCGCGCCGAAGTCTGTGTATCTATACATTTTATACATGTGTATACGCTTATGTACACGCCTTCCGGTAAGTTCCAAATCACCAAAATGTTAATGCATGCTGGAGCAACAAGAACAGTCATTGCAATCATCACACCAATACTTAATACAATATCTCCCAGCTCTTTGCTATGATGCTGGTCCATCATACTATGCATCTGGCAAAGCTGCGTCGCATGCGGGATGAAAGGAACGACAAGTGTTCGCCCTCGCATTTTGATGCATTCGACACGTGTGTTCCATGTATTCAACCAAATCTTCGCAGGCGTGCGCAGACGTGAGCATGCAAAGCGTCATACCCCTCGACTCCTCATTGGCCCCTTTGAGGAGAACGCAATTGAGCTTCAAGTTGAAGAAAGGCTCCTCTTGGGCAAAAAGATGGGTGGTTGTCAAAATTAGGGTCCCTTTTTGGGGTCCTTATTACAATACGGCACCTAATATTCAGGGTACCCAAAAATGGACCATAATTTTGACAACTACCCAGATAGGGTTTAGGGTTTAGGGGATTTGCAGATCGGCTCCTCCGCAACTGCGTGCATACTGTCCATAATTCGGGCCTGTGCGTGGCAGGTCCCCGTGAGGACACGCGACCAATAGCTTAGCCAAGACAGTCGGTGTGGGACTCGATGCCCTTTGGATCTAAGAATCTAGTCCTACCTCCGTTACTCCTGAATATTCAAAGTCTGGTTGCTCATAGCTGCTTTTTCCAAAAACTGTCACTATGGGCAGTTTCGAAGGGCAGCTAAAACATACGGCCCGGCAGTGCAAGGATTCGGCCTCTATACAATGCCCCGAGCGCCGGACGTGCCAATCCAGCGGCTTCCCCGCCAGAAACGGGAACTTGGCCGCTTGCAGCGTGTCCAGACCTTGCGGATTGCTTGTTAACTGCCGGCTGTCACGACCATCATCATGGCAAACGCAGCCCAAAGACGAACATGAGAGTGGAGCTCTCTAACAGGCTTTCTGTGCGCCTTGCGTGCCACAGAGCAACCGAAGGCACTGGCCAACGGACACAGATCGCAAGACTCTCCCCTGCAAGCCATTCTAAGCTTCCCGGCTTAGATTGACGTTTCTCAATCCCGCTGCACGCATCTGCGGAAGGAATTTCTTGAGCCTGGAACCACAAGTCATGACTGGCATTCGGATTCAGATCAATAGTGCAGCCGTCTTCGTGCTGTAAGCAGACTACTAGTGTCTGCCACACTTTTGGCGGAAGTTCCAGTTCAAGTCATGCACTAACTCAAGTCTCGCATACGGCTTTCGAGGTCGGGATGCAAAGTGATTTCAGATGTTGGTCCGGCTAGGCGCAGCCACAATCCCAGACTTTGACACCCTACTTCTTGTCAGAACGACGTATCACCATGAGATTAAGGGCTTCGAACATGAGTCCCAAGCCCTAAACCCCTAAACCCTATCCCAAACCATCAGATAGGATCAAATGAACAGCTAGCTCTCAGCCTTGTAACTCAAAGTCAAGGCTCCAACCTTTAAGAACAGAAGGTGGCAAATCTAGCTGAGCTTACGGGTTTGGGGCTTAAGGGTTTAGGGTTTGGGGGTTAGGGCCAATATGTTGACAGACACACACAGGAAACTGAATCAACCCGAAACATCGGCATAAATCAGATTGGTATGATGACCATTAACAAGGTCAGGCAATGCTGGTCTATCACGACCCTGTTATCAAAAAACATGATGTTTGAGAAGAACAAAGGTTCCTGCGAACAAACCCTAAATTCATATGATCCTTGTTTTGAAGGCCCTTAAAGAAGGTACTCCTATATTTTTGAAACTTACATATATGCTTCCTTGTCAGTATGCTGCAGTTCGCGAACCTCTAAGCCGGCTCCGTACGGTGGGCGGCTCCATGAAACCGGAGCCCCTTTACCTTATGGTCATTATGTATAGAAGTTGTTAAGGGTCTGGGTGCCGAAGTTTTCACCGAAACGTTGTCAGCGAGAGTTGTCTTTTTGAAACCTGACTTCGATGTGCGAATTTTGGATTGGGCTGGGCGCTGGCGGCTGGCAGCTGGGGGCCGGGGCTGAAATTTGGCAGAAGAATGCTTACTTGGAGGATCATGGGACTTAGTAAGTATGGTTATAAGTACCTTAATTGGGGTTATAAGTAGTTATAAGTATAGTTACCCTAATTATAACCCTAGTTACTAAGTCCCATGATCCTTTAAGTAACTGGGGCCACAGGCTGGGGATCCTGCTTCCCAATTCCAACCGAAGTAAAAAACAACCTTGAACCTCAGACCCTCAAACCCAAATCTCACCGATCAAACATACCCTGCCCATAGGCCCCATAGTAGTTCCTTTTTGGGATTACCTTAGAGGATTCTATATATGACCCAAAAGGAACTACAATGGGGCCTCTGGCTAAAGCCTAAGCCTCCAACCCTAAAATTAAAACAAAACACAAAAGAGCACAGCCCCCCCCCCCCCCCCCCCGGTTTAGGGTTTAGGGTTTAGGGTTTAGACCAAACATGAAACCCACAGCCGAAACCTCAACTAAGAAAGCCATCAACCGTAAACCTTAAAGCCCAAAGCTCGATCAAACAGTAACAGTTCCTAAACCTCAAGCACCAAACTCCCAAAAACCAAATAGCAAAAAAAACCCTAAACATTAAAACTCTAAACCTCGCAACTCAAACAGCAAGGATCCCCAAACATCAAGCCCTAAAATCCCCCCACATCCAACTAGTTACAATGCCTACGCCTCAAACCCTAGGTTCAAACCTCAAAGAGAAATCAAAAGAAGTCCCTGAAACTCAAACCGTAACGAATAAACATCATAAGCCGCCAACATCATCGCAGGGCAAACCTCCTAAATCCTAAATTTTACCCTTAAACCCTAAACCCCCAAAACCCCTAAAGCCCCAAAACCCATGGCCTCACGCCATTCGTCGTGATGCCAAGCGAGAGCGGCTCAGGGAGGCCTCGCTGGTGCCCGGTTTTTCGATAAGTTTTCTATACTTGGAGGTTCATGGGTAGTTATAAGGGCTCCTCTAAGGGTCCCTTTAAAGGGCTCTTTAGGGATTCTATAAGGGTATAGGGTTTAGGGCCTATTTGGAGGTTCATGGGTAGTTATAAGTGGGGTTTTTATAAGTAGGGAAACTATGATTAAAAACCCATCTTAGAGGACTTATAACTCCACTTAAAACTACCCATGAACCTCCAAGTAAGGGCCAGGACCCCAGAATGGCCCTTTGATGGAGCCCGTATGGTCATTAAGAGTGGGGATTTGGGGTATAGTAGGGTAGTTGGGGGGGTCGAGGGGCTAGGGGTTCAGGGTTCAGGGCTTTAGGAGTTTGGGGTTTCGGTTTGGGATTATAGGGTGTAGTAGGGGTTTGGGATTCTAGGGTTTAGTAGGGTTCAGGATTAAGGTTTGAGGTATAGGGTTTAGGGCCAAAGACAAGGGCTTCAGGGTTCAGGGTTAGGGTTAAGGGTATAGGGTTTAGGGTTAAGGCTAGGGGGTTAGGGTTCAGCGTTAAGGTTCGGGGTGTAAGGTTTTGGATTTGGGGTTTAGGGTATGGGGTTTCGGGTTCAGGGTGTAAGGTTTAGGCTTTGGGGCTTGCTGCGACTACAGGTGCTATGACAATACTAGTTCGACAGGTTCCCATAGGGCTTACTGAGGTTTACTAGAAGGGCTACTACCAGGGTTTCGGCAAGATTGGTATACGGGCGGCTACGAGGGCGTAAATAGTAAGGGTTGCTCTTTGGGTTACTGGAAGGGTTTCTATGATGTCAGTGCTTTTACCACGGGCAAACATTATCATGTACAGAGGTTGCTATAAGGCTCACCAAGATCTGAGTTTTCAGGTTTTGCAGTGCGAGGCTTTTCAGGTCTGAGGCTTTTCAGGGCTTGAAGAACTTATTTCGTTTGGGGTTTCGAGCTCCCTACTGCAAAAGCCGAAGCTTTGAGGAAGTAATTAGGGAATCGACACTTGCTGTGCATGGCTTTATGCTGGGGCTGACGTAATATAGGGGTCTTAATGATTACTAACTCGAGTTGGGCTTCGGGGTATAACACTTGAGGCTTCTACATTACCTGCAGCTTGCTCCTGAGATGGTATGCGCCCTCGAGACGCTGAAGATCCTCTTGCCTCCCAACAGCCACAAGAAATTCGACATCAATGCCCTGAAGACGCTGAACCCAACGTCGAATCCTGCGCCCGAGCATTATGACGAGCAGCCTGTAACTTTCGGACAGAGTTTCACTCATCATGCGAGTTCTCAGGCACCGGCAGGCATTTAGTTCGCCGATATCCTGCAAGCAGCTACTTTCATACTCACAAACAGCCCATTCCGACTTCCAAGAAGGGCCTCCAAGTTCCAAGTTTCCCGGTTAGACCCTGACAACAGGAATCCCAAAAGGAGCCACCGCCTCATGGGTAGTTGTCAAAATTCTGGTCCTTTTTTGGGTGCCCTAAATAGGAAGTGCCGTGCTATATTAGGCATTCAAACCCTAAACCCTAAACCACCCACATGCAGCCGTCCTGCATAATCTGTGCGAAGTCTCCTCGCGTGGTTGGCTCGCCGCCTGTGAGCCTCACCTTCAGATGACGGTGAAGTTGAGAACCATTTAGGGGGGGGATTATTATTATTATTACTATTACTATTACTATTATCATTATTATTACTATTATTATTAGTATTATTCTAATTATTATTAGTATTATTATTAATATTTTTATAGTCGAAAATAATGGGTCCATGTTCCATTTCGAACCCAGTGTTTTCTCGGGTGCATCTTACCCTTCCCGGATGCTCAGTGTCAAGAACAACGACACACACACACACACAGACTGACACTGACTGACACTGACACTGGAGAACATTGCATGGCACTGTACTGCGATACAGCGATCACTAGGGCATAAACCGAATACAGACCTGATACACAGCTTGCATGCGTGCAAGAACGAGGTGAAGGGACCCTCAGAAAGCAGAAGGCTTCCCTGCGAAACTTCGGTGGCTGATAGTGGCAACGCTTAACGGACTGGAACTTGCCTCATCGCCTATTCAATGCCTGCCGGCATCTGAGAATCTCCAAACCCCGAAACCTCAACACCCCAAACTCCAAACCCTACGATTGATGATATAAATCCTGCATTACCTTAAGGGCCCTAAACTATGGGAATTATGGTATATTCCTTATTCTGGGTAATGCAGGATTTATATCATCAACCGTATGAACCCTTTTTTTAGTACCCTTCAAGGAACCTGGACACTCCAGAACATGCTGAAGATCGAACTCCGGGGCACCCCACCTTTTTGACACCCAGACGGACGAAAAGCCGTAGCAACCGCTTCAACTCCTTCAGTCCCGCTGGTGTTAGGATGCTTAGGGTTTAGGGTTGAAGGGTTTAGCGGCTTAGGGTTTAGAGTTCAGGGTTTAAGGGTTCAGGGTTTAGGGAGTTCGTTGAAGATTCGGATAAGCCAAAGAGAGTGAAAAGCTCGAAGGCGCAGGTCATTCTATGCAAAATCTAATTCTCGAGGCACTGCATGTTTTCAGCAATTCATTCCCCAGATATAAGTGCAGGCGCTTGGTGACTTTTGGGACTTGCCGCAGAGCAAACCATTGGGAGGGCCACTCGAACTACAACGAGCTTGTACTCAAACCAGTATGTGCTTCGCCAAAGGCGTGGCCATTGATGCCACGAGATACACTGCCCGAGCGTGTCCTGGGCCGTGAGCACCTTGCCGCCCGGCGTGGGGGTGAAAACTTCCTGTGAGAGTTCAATGGTAGATGCAAATCTGCGCAGAAGTCTTCGACAGAACGCTGTTGGAAGAAAGCAGCGGTACAACTTCAGCATACTATGGGTGCGCAGGATGCTGCCGCGGAGCACAGGAAAACAAGCTTGGTCATTCATGGCGGTCGTGGAGTAAGGACGTCTGTCTAGACTCAGCTCAACAAGGGTCCTCTCCATCTTCCGGCATGCAGTAGCGACCTTGCACAGCTTTGTGAAGGCGCTCTCGCTCACCCCATAGCCGAACGTCATTCAGCAGCGGTGAAATCGAATCTGTTTAGGCAAAAGAGGCAGAAGCAGGCCTGCATGCATCAACGGTCCGGACTTGAAGACCGTCAACCCCTAGTGTAATATGGGGGGCCTTAATAATTAGCATAAAGTTTTGGGG